AAAGTAACATAATTGACTAATACTAAAATGAATAATTGTAGACAGGTTTTGACATGAAATTGTGTAACTTTTATGTGTGCTAACATCTGTGATGAAGAGCGAAAAAGCTCGTGAGTAGCATTCTACCTTAAAATGCTTGGACAATAATGCTAAGATACGTACTGTCTTGTCTTTTTTGTATAGAACATTTTGCCGTAATGGATCAAGGGTGTGGGTGTGTTTGTCTATGGGTGGGGAATGGCCTAGGACCCCTTCTCTAAAATGGTAAAATAGTTCAAAAATGAAACCTAATTGAATTTAAAACCGAGAAAACTTTTTGAATATTATAAAATTCACACGATTCACATCAAATATATCATTTATTGTTGTTTTCGAACCCCCTATTCAAAAGTGCTGGCTACGGGCCCGGACAGTCAATGTACTCTGACAAGTTTTTACCATTATCTCCACACGGTGGAAGGCTGTGTAACAAAGAACACATAACATGTGAACCAATTTATTATATGTGTAATTAACTAATCTATATTTAAAATGTTGAGCCATTAAAAATCACGAGGGGTGCGTAATTTCAGTTGTTTTCACCTGTTTGAAGAGTGACGATGTTGATAAGATGACTTAGAGCGCTTTTAATAAAATAAAACAGTTGATGCATATGCAATAGTATATAATATTATATGTATTCTCGTTGCATGATTGTAATTTTCTGTATGAAAAACATGGGTTGGATATGGTTTGGTTTTGAATTCATTCATTTTTAATTGCTATATCTCAAGTACCCATATGCAAAACACTAATTGATCATCATACAAGACGACACACAAACCTCTAACTACTATAGTAGTCTCAGCATAAACTAAGTATAGACAAAATAATTAAAAAGCATCCTATGCTTGTCTGTTTCGTAACACATTTGCCACGATCTTTTCGAATTGTTTAAAGACAAACGTACTTTTTTTTAAATTATTAGGCTACGAACTTTTTTAAATTGCAGGAAATAACAAACTACAGTTTACATGATACGGGATGTTGATTTCAAAATTTTCGTGGTGTAATATTTAATGACGTGCGTTTCTGACTTGCGTCTGTTACGTATTGTTTGAATTGTCGGGATGACGTCACGTAATGTTTGTATGTGTGATCTTTCCGATTTATTTAATTCAAGATGGACATACTATTTTTTTTAAATTTCGAAGAGCTGAAACAAGCTTCAGATAGAATTACGATCGCCTTGGAACAAACACACCTAACAGTAACGGCAGCATGATAACTGGGGCAAAACGACTCTCCTTGCGATTGGGGACGTCTTTTTATTGACTTTGAGTTCGTCATAGTCAGAAATTTCAGTTCGGTGCAGTAAAAAAAAAGGTTTTGAAAGTCGTCCTATATGTGTGGGGGTGCCGACAAGGTTCCAATCAAAACAAGCATCTCCACATTCACAGACCTGTACATAGAGCTAACCATTTTTCTATACGTGTTACTGGTAAATAGATACATGTATATAGCTGAATATAGTAAATTATGGAATGAGATTGAAACTTAAACACTGGCTGTATCTAGCAACCTAAAACTATTGGTTTGGGCGGCTTTCGCAACACATTTTTGTTGGGTGAATCGTGGGACTTTTTCTATTAATATGATATAAAATATTTTCATATTTCTTCATGGCTCAATTCACTTAATATCTTTGCGTCCCAGCTCAATGTAAAAAATGCCAAACGTGTATTACAAAAATGTAATAGTTTTTCAAATGTCTAACGTGCTTAGAATGTCAAAAACGCAGGCCTTTGCAGCTCAAATTTGAGTTTCAAAAGTCGGGTTTTGAAAATGCTTAACATACCCGAACTACCAACCGAACAAATCTTCCCAGGCCAAAGTCGGGTTTCAAAAATGCTTAACGTGCATTTCTTGCTTCACGTACCCGAACTACCAAACGTGCAAACCTTCCCAGGCCAAAGTCGAGTTTCAAAAATGCCTAACGTGCATTTCTTGCTTAACGTACCCAAACTACCAAACGTGCAAACCTTCCCAGGCCAAAGTCGGGTTTCAAAAATGCCAAATGTGCACTTAATGCCTAACGTGCCTGAAATACCAAACGTGCAAACCTTCCCAGGCCAAAGTCGGGTTTCAAAAAATGCCAAATGTGCATTTCATGCCTAACGTACCCGAACTACCAAACGTGCAAACCTTCCCAGGCCAAAGTCGGGTTTCAAAAATGCCAAATGTGCACTTAATGCCTAACGTGCCTGAAATACCAAACGTGCAAACCTTCCCAGGCCAAAGTCGGGTTTCAAAAAATGCCAAATGTGCATTTCATGCCTAACGTACCCGAACTACCAAACGTGCAAACCTTCCCAGGCCAAAGTTGGGTTTCAAAAATGCCAAATGTGCATTTCATGCCTAACGTGCCTGAAATACCAAACGTGCAAACCTTCCCAGGCCAAGGTCGGGTTTTGCAAATGACAAACGTGCATTTCATGCCTAACGTACTCGAACTACCAAACGTGCAAACCTTCCCAGGTCAAAGTCGGGTTTCAAAAATGCCTAACGTGCATTTCTTGCTTAACGTACCCAAACTACCAAACGTGCAAACCTTCCCAGGCCAAAGTCGGGTTTCAAAAATGCCAAATGTGCACTTAATGCCTAACGTGCCTGAAATACCAAACGTGCAAACCTTCCCAGGCCAAAGTCGGGTTTCAAAAAATGCCAAATGTGCATTTCATGCCTAACGTACCCGAACTACCAAACGTGCAAACCTTCCCAGGCCAAAGTCGGGTTTCAAAAAATGCCAAATTTGCATTTCATGCCTAACGTACCCGAACTACCAAACGTGCAAACCTTCCCAGGCCAAAGTGGGGTTTCAAAAATGCCAAATGTGCATTTCATGCCTAACGTGCCTGAAATACCAAACGTGCAAACCTTCCCAGGCCAAAGTCGGGTTTTGCAAATGCCAAACGTGCATTTCATGCTTAACGTGCCTGAAATACCAAACGTACAAACCTACCAAAGCCAAAGTTGGGTTTCAAAAAGGAGCTTTTAAAAAAAAGCATTAAAAAATGTCCAACGTACATGCCTTCTCAGCTCAAATTCGGACCTTACAAAAATGTTAAACATGTTAAACAGATTTTAATACATATTAGAAACATTTTTATCATCATTCTATTTTTTACTAATAAACATGCACTGCTTTATGCACGTGTTACGGATATTTACATGTTTGATGTCAAACGTGTGTATTAGTCTGATGTTTGCCACACCTCACTAATAGTTCTTTAGAATTTGGATTTTAACCATAAACACCGCATACAGAGTCTCCCATGAAATGGCGGGGGGGGGTACCGAGAGGTCTGAACAGCTGGCAGACAAACCGTTCAGAATCCAAATGTCTTGGTTCTAAATAGTCCCTACTTTAGCAGAATGTCTAAATTGGTAGCTAAATCGCCACAATTGCGCATAAAATCGGGGAAACATTCAGACTTCAGTTCACAGCTTGTTTTTATAATTGATTTTTATAAGTTTCATTTTCGTTGTCGAAATCATGACGGCGATAAAAATCCAATCACGCGTCACCCCTTAACAAGACGTTAGCTTGTAATAGTATGAGTTTGCATGGATATATATTTTAACTCCATGGTTTCAAATAGTTTGTCGCCAAGGTTAATGGCCTTCAGGTTGTTTTCTGCTTTCTACAATACTTTATATCCTTGACTGCAAAGATAAATCATTTTTTGATCCGACCTTCTGTCACAAAAAAGGCTATTGTCAGAGTCTGTTGAATTGTAAATGCTTTCAGCAGACCGTTGTCCTCGTTTGACCTTTGTCATGTAACCATCATTCTGAGATTTTAGCACGTATATTTGTATACTTGTGACGTTCAAATGATGGTGTTATTTCACTTACGTAACTAATTAGTCATTTGGAATTCCAAACATTTTAAAAGTTAAAATCACTTCCGGTCTGTGGAGTTTGCAGTTCATTCCAAACCGAGGCTTCGTTGAGAATCACAATCAAAATGGCGACAAACTCAAATACAGTGGGACCTCCGGCCAACATTCCTGGGCTCCCAGCCTTGCCAAAAAGTCTAAGTGGACTGCTAAATGTATCCAGTGGTACCTGGAGAGAGACTGGTCGAATACATGCCATGAAGACTATGATTCAGGACGATTATTCGCGAGCAAACGGCCGCGGAAGAGACCCGAAAGACAAGAGAGCTCTGAAACCTCCGCCTGGAAATTTAGACGCGGCGCTAGCTATCCTTCGCAAAGAGATGGTGAGTGACGTGTAGTTACGTAAACACTATTCATTATTTCTGATAAAGCAGATGCTTTCAAGTATGGTTTAAATCTCATAAAATGTACAAATTATTAATTCATGATCGTCATATCCGACATGTGTTTACTTGATGAACGGGGCCCGCATCACAGTCACTATGTAGATTTTTTAACAAGTAAATTTATCACTTGGTATGTGTTCGCGAAACAGCAGTGATTTGGTCTATTAGAGAGGTATCTCTATGGGTCGAACTACAGACCTACATTCTGAGCTAAAAATCCGTGACCACCATACTCGCAAACCAAAGACATTGCGCAAACGCAGTAATCAGCGGAGACAATGCAGCGATGTAGACGTGATGTGTTGTAGGCTTTGAGTTTAGCCGCAGGCAAATTTACACGTACAATATAAAAATCTTTGACGAGTTCGTCGTATTATCACACCGTATTATAAAAGTGATTCTATTAAAATAAATAATGTGGAATTTTTATCCAATCACAACAGTATATTTAAATAATTATCAGGTTTATTTTTAAGTCTCAAATGTAAATAGATTTGACCCGATTCGTAGCTTATTGATGTGTTGAACAAGTAGAAATTACCAGTGAAGCAGATTTTAATTTAACCTGAAAATCAAATTTATCACCTGACAGACGGTTACTGTCTGGTGCCAGACATTGACAATATTATATTACAATCACAAAATCAATATTATCACTGAAACCCATTATCACTTTCCAAATTTACCCTTTTCTCGTTTATATTTTTTTCAAAAACGTGTACATAGCCATATAGTGTAATAATAGATGATGTTTGCAGGAAGTTTCGTTGGAAGAAAAAGAAAACAAAACATGCAATTTGATGCGTTAATGTTTGGCTTGTAATCGTGTATATTTTGCTCATTTCCTATTCAATGTTTAACATTCATGTCATATTGAGTTCTCCAGTGTTTGCTCTTTGAAATTGAAACTGATGAGTTACTGCCAATACAGGGAGGTTTATTTGTTCTCTTTCCCATTTGTCAAATTGGATATTGGCTCATACCCAGGAAATACAATAACGATAATCACATTTGCTGCCTTGAGTCAATATTTATGCTCCTGATGTGAAAATTGCCCATCTAATATGGACTGGCACATGCTCTGATCATTAATCACTACTTTTATAGTAATATGATGATGAGAATATACACACTGCTGCTGTCGAGGGGACACTATCTACCAGTTACTTGTGATAATGCTACAGGCGGTGGCATGAAAATGTAGCACTGGTCACATGTGAACTTACATTTGCTATAAACACTCATTTAATCAAAAGCGCTTCAATTTCGCAAGAGAAAATCGCAAAATTTTGTAGCAGTAAAAATTCCTGTTGTGTTCTGCATCTCAAAGTGTCAGTGGACTTTTTGTGAAATTTTGTCATAACAAATGCCACTCGAATGAATAAACAGTACTCTGTCTCAAAACCAACCAAAACTTGAACTGAATTCCAGTGTGATAATTTTAACACTCTGTATTGTCAGTGTCTGATGGGATATGTACTTGCACCTGTCAAACTACAATGTATACATATATTATACTTGAGTAGATAGCAAACAAATAACTAACTTGCAGTATTCTCAGAATCAAGGGTGCACTCTGCAAACCTTCATAGAGCTTTATTGTGGCCTTGGGAGGACATATGTTCTTTAAAGAGTCATTAAAGAACTCTGAAACTCCATAAATCTGACACGAGTTTAAAGTTTGCCTCAGATTCAGATCCTATCATGCAACTCAGATAAGTAGATAATATAACAAACCAATCGTGCAAATCCAGGACATGATGGTTGGTTATTCAAATTGTATCCTTCTTGAGAATATTTTTTCTAGTTTAGCCATGGTGAGTTAGCCTCCCAAAGTTTTGTTTTGCATGACTGGCAGTGGCTCTGTAGTTTGTGAAGGGCGCCCTCGTGAGGTATGGGAAAAATTGTATGTATTTTTTCTTCAGCTATAGTTTGGGCTGGTTTTGTTGGTTATATTGACTATCATTCTCACAATGAGAGTAGAACATCCACAGAGTTGAATTGAATTTTTTTTTTTTTTTGTGTTTTTCAACTTTTCACATGTTTTGGTTTATGCGAGTGAATTACGAATCTGTTGACTTGTTATTCTTGAATATTAGTATATGTTCACTCAATACATAATTTATTTGGTGAAAATTTATAAAGTTCCCCTAAATTTTAATTAAAATTATTTAATGAAAATCAGACTTGGTTTTGTTATGATTTATTTGTGCTAGACATCAGAAATTTAGAGAAAAAAAAGTAAATATTTTTTTTTTACCCTGCAATCTTTTAGGGGGCACTGAAGGTAGTTCAATAGCATAGAACAAGTGAAATTCTTAATCAGACAACTGAATAGTAATTAACTCACTATAAAATGACTTGTCTTAACAGCCTATTGAAAATATATAAACAACATACATTTTGAACGTGTAAGTGTAAAAGTTAACACGTAAGGGGGTAACTATTTGTGGGAAAGTAAAAAATGACCACATTTAGGCGTGTATCTGGTATTAAATTTTTAGTTGAACCTTAAAAATCTAATTAGTTAGTTTACATGCTATTTTTGACCTGACGTTGGAAACTTGAGATCTAATGGAACATTCAGAGGGTAACCTGATCTAATTACTGATAATATCTTTACAGTCTAAGTCAAAATAAAACTTAAGTAAGTCAGCATGCCTAACAAATCCTTTGTAGACTTTGTTGAGTATTTCACACTATCGGTTCTCTGCAAATGGTAACACTGTCGCTATTGTGGAGGGCAAAAATAAGTCTGGGAACTGTGAGTGCTGCATGCAAGGAACATAAACATCTGTGAAGATATGCATGATGTTTGAAATGAACAATGTATTTACTTCAATATTTGCTACACGCATGTCTAAAAGTAGAAGTGTCGCTATTCTTAGTACCTGTCTATAAATGGATCGTTGTTCACCTGAGCAGCCCTTGCCACACCTACATGCATATGTAAATTGTCAACACTAAGGACTATCGATTTCAAAACCTTGTTATGTTCATGTCAATGACTTTCTTACCTTGCCTGTGATTATAATGCTGGAGTATGTCTGTCTTTGCCATTTTGTTGTTGTCATTGTTAACATTTTTGTGTGGCCAGGGCAAGTTATTTGTTTCCACTCTTTCTCAGACTCCAATATATTATCAATGAATGTAGATCTAGGTTCAGTTCATTTTTGGTGTGACTGGCTTGTGTGGATTTGTAGATATTGGTGTAAATGTCAATGGGGACTTATATATTGACCTCTGTGTGTCCGTACATGTGTCCAGACCTGTATCTTGGACATGCCTGACCCAATTACATTCAAACTTCATACATAATATTATACATGTATGCACATCAATTTGTTTCACAGTCAATTCAAGATGGCCAAATGGTGGCCATTTTTGTACTGAAAATACAAATATCTGTCATATTTGTTATAACTGATCATAATCTACTAACCAAGTTCAGTAAGAGGGCACAAGCCCTGGGTATTGGGGTGCTGCCCCCCTGTTCCCCGTTCCCTCGTCTGCCTATTTTTCTCAATAAATATTGAAGTTACCATAACACCCCCTCCCCAACTTGGTCATGAATGCATGACTTTCATATGTACATTGAACATTATGGGACCTAAAAAAGAACACAATTACAGCTGCAGTTTTTTGGTTGTTTTATTACTACACTACGTTAAGCTGTACTTACCTTACACCCAATCATACTTACCTTACACCCAATCGTACTTACCTTACACCCAATCGTACTTACCTTACACCCAATCGCACTTACCTTACACCCAATCGCACTTACCTTATACCCATTCTCTTGAAACGCTTGGGAGTCAATATCTTTTAATCATTTGGGTGTAAGATAACTATGGTTTCACTATGTTAGATTATCACCTCAGTTAACGACTTTCTCTTGTAGTTCACTAGTAATCACAGACAAGGTGTTATTAATATGTTTTTAGTTTTTCTGTCACAGTAGAGCAAAATTGGCATATATTTTATGTAGCTTTAGTAAAAAAAGGACTGGCCCCTTAATTAATGACCCTCGGTCACCTTTGATGTCCTGTAAAGTTCAATCAACCGTGTGACATTTAATTTTCAGTCTTGACACGAACATTTTCGTTATTACCTATTCTTGATTTGTTCAATATCTGCACATCCGTTTGAGGGAAGTATATGATGCCAATGCGTCTTCATGTCTGGCTATTTTTACCAGATCTTATCACCACCTGTCTTATTGCTTTCCTTTGTAGCTAGGCCCGCTAAAGAATCAGAGGCTGGATGCCGTGCGTGTATGTTCAGTGACGACAATTTGTATGGGTAATTGGTAATAGCCAGTACAATAGAGATCCTCTGCTGAATCTGCTTTGGCAATTTCCTGTGGATTGTCACCTGTCCTTGTTGTCTGCGATATTCCTTGTATACATGCTGAAACTCTTAACATAAAGATCATTTACAGGGCAATGCATTCTTTGCTGAAGGGCTATCGTGACCTTTTCCCCTTACTGGTTTCTTTGATGAAAAACGTACTTGAATCTGACCTGGAGATCTTAGCTCATTATAGCGTAGAATAAAGACGAGTCTACATGTACTGTTAAATTGTGAACTTTTGTAATGGAGATAAATGGATGTCCATTAGTCGTTAATGAGACTAGTTCTTCTTCCTTAGTACAATGAGATTAAAATGACCTGATTTATTTCAATGATGGCACTGGAGGCTTGTTCAGTTTGATTTCAATTTTTGTTGTTAGTACCACTGATATTTTATGTGTTTTTCTTTGTTGGACTTGAATTTTGAATTTGTCACACAACACATGTTATCCTGTATCAATATTTGGTTACCTTTCACTACTGTACTCAAAACAAGATTAATGTATAATTTAATTGCTCAGTCTACTCATCGTTATAGTACCATTGATTATTCCTTCTCATGTTATGCAATTAATTATCTGAAGTATTAGTTATCTAAACCAATTTCACCCTCGTGAATGTCAGGATAATGTCTAGAGGCTATTTATCTCTATTTATAAAAAATGGCCAGCCGAGTATCGAGTCAGAATGACATCGGTGTGGATATATATTATTAATAATATCTACGATAGATGCTTTAGATAAGAGTTATGCAATTTTCATAACTATGCATTGTGATATGCGATGAAAAATTTCAGTTAAATCGTGTGATGTTTACTCGCATTCTTTTTCTCGGTGTGGAATTCGTATTTCAGGGAAGTTTCAACACACTTGTCACTTGCTGTGTGACGACCAGTGGCCTTTCAAAGTTTTGATAGTTATGAAAGCATGATACAGTTAGATAAAATGCCACAAAAATAAGATGCATATAATAAAAATAAAAACAAACAAGTGGTAACCATGGTAATATGGAGAGTAAGAGAGAGATAGAAATTATTAGTCTTACAAATATAAGATGTGTGGTTCTATTCTAGAAAGTGAAAACAATGATTCAGTGCAAATTAGCCACAACGCTGTATTCTTTTTTTCCTAGCACTGTAATAGATCAACAATCTCAAGCCTTGACTGTTTGTATTCTTCTGAATTTCAAATGAAAATACAATAATTTGTACAAATTTGGCAGTTAGTGGTTTTGACAGTGGAAACGTAAAACTAAAGTTTATTTCATGTACAATTACAGCCAGTGGGTATTAAGTCATCCAAAATTCTGAAAGTCATTGTGATGTTTACCAACGTAGCCATCCAAAATGTACAAGAATAATAATTCAGATATTATTTTTTGCAAACCATAATTCAAGGTGTGCTCAAATTAGTATAATCGTGTCAAATAAAAAATATTATATAGTATATTTGTAAAAACCAAATGGTTGTTTTGATTGTTGATAATTGTTCTTGTATACATAAATAGGTAGCTGTTCATTGTCGTCCGTCAACAATTGCATTTTCGACTTTTTGAAAACTACCAGCTTGGGTGGACCTTTTGTGACAATATCTTCAATTCTCTATTTTTGCCTAATATATTTGTCATTTTTGGTGAAAAATGCTTTTTTTTGACCTCTTGAAAACTACCAGCTCAATTGCTTTGATACTTGGTATCAAATTTCACTGACAGTTTTCAAAAAGAATGGGTGTGCATTGCTCGACTCTTCGCCAGCCAAGGACCATTTATTCACCCGAAGCCTCAATATCAACCCTTGGCAGATTTTACCCTGACAAACTGTATGTTGAAATTGCACGCACTCAAACGATTATAAGATTCACTTCGGTCATTTGCATCACCCAATCAGAACTCATGATAGGAACTCATTCACTTGCCCACAAACAATGTTCAACATTGGAATAAGAAATTTTGGAAACGTGTTAACGAATATATACCTTGAGCGCAAAGCCTATGCGCCCCATTTGTTTTAATCTGTGATGAGCTCCCGACCTTCACGGTTATGATACATCAACGCTGATCCTCCAATCTCACTGCAGTGAAAATATAACTTTTCCTAACACAATCACTCACGGGTTTGTGGGGCAGTTATGAATGGCCGGCTTTAGTGAAACCGTGCGATTCGGACGATGTGCACGACTTTGCTACAACAATGTTCTTGTAGGACAGCGGAGCTATTTCGATCATCGAGTTGCTTGTTCATTCTCATCTTTAGAAATATTTGTTAACTTATATTAATTTTTTTTCAGGTTGGTCTGCGTCAACTTGATATGTCCTTACTGTGCCAACTTTGGAGCTTGAATGAATCGATACAAGAGTACAAGAGTATGTGTCTTGACTCTGTGTCCGTCAGCGAGTGTGCTACTTGTGAAAATGGCCAAGAAGATAGCTGTCCCCTTCATCAGTCAATGAACGGTAGTCAGGCTGACGTTTTCTCTGACTTGGACTCTGAACTTGCAAGTCCTCGGGACAATAGCAAAGGCGATTGGTAAAGACATTCAACTCGGTAGTTCTCATGACACTGGCGCAGGTGACAGGAGCACCCATGCAAAAGAGCACAATACACAGTATAATATATTATTATAATCTCTCCATGACTGGACATGATGTTATTGATACCTGGTTGCTGCACAAAAAGTCTTGGATTCATCGGTGCTATTTACTCATTTTATATTTAAATAATTAACATATTTTGATAAGGCTGCATAAGTATACTTATTTGTGGGTTCATATTCAACAGACAAATTGCGAGTTCTGTGGTTGCTATGGTACTGAGCCAATATCGGCATTGTGTCAGTAACTGAAAGGGTGACAGATCGGAGTTATCCCGGAATGTGGGTATAATTATCAAATTTCATAAACCATATTTTGTTTTGCTTCTTCAGTGTCTACGAATAAAAAAATTCAATGCTTTGATAGAGAACTTAAGTAGGACTAGCTGGTAAGCTGGTAGGAAGCGTAATATTTAGTGACTAGATGTATAGCGCATACACCTTTACGTGATCAGCTGTCTCACCGGCATGGGTTCCTTAGCAACTACACAACTCCAAACTCATTTAATATTAGAGTGTTAGTCAACAGTGTGTGGACAAATGTTGAATAATTCGCACTATTTGACAATTTAAATTTAAGATATAAGGTATGCCGTATTTGTTCTATTAGCAGCGCATGCGTTCATGTAAATTACATAGGTGATAATAAGTAATTAATTATTCATTATATGTGCTTCTAATAGAACAAATTGTCATTCAAACAGTGATAATCTACTACTATCCTCTCTGTATAACATAAATATTATCTTAAGATATCACGGTACTTTGAGTTGCATACCTCAAACTGTATTGTTACTGATAGTATTTGGCAATATTTTGATCTTGTGTTTTATTCTGCATTGAAATTTGTATCGTCAGAAGAAACAGTTTTTCAGCATATTTGTTAGTATAAGTTTGAGTTCTACTATATGACTGAAAAGTTACATACATTCGTTCATTGAGATATCTTGCTGTATGTTAGGGTAACAGTGATATTAATGTGTAATTTCCTGGTGTAAGCACTGGAAAACAATCTCAAAAAAGCAAAAAATACTAGTATGCCGTACTGCCATTTTTGAGTATTTTTTAAAGGGTATGTCTAAAATCTGTGTGGGTGATTTACTGTGATATTCAATATTCACCATCACAGCCTTATTATGGTATAACTAACTCTACTTATATAGGTGTGATCAGACTTTCTAGGACTGACATATTCAACAACAACAAAACTGATCGAATGACACGCCTGTTTGATTACTTTTTTTTAGGCGTGTTGAGCAGAAAAATATATTTTTTTTCCCCCTCACCAAATGGTGTTTTCAATTTTCAATATTTGACTGTCTGTACCAATGCAGACTAGGCATCATTGCCAAATGTTACAATCGCAGCCCAGTACTTCCAGAATCGGACACAACATGACATGGCAGTGCGTGTCCAACATCGTTTTCTATTTTCTATTGTATTATATTTACATATTCTCACTTTCATAATATTAAAATAGTTTTATACTAATATATAAAAAGAAATAGTTGCAGGGCAACATATTTCATATTTTGTTGATATTACAGCCAAAATATCTTGATATTCTTTGTGTTTGGTTAGCATGTATTGTTTTCGAAACCTGATACCACACAGCACCTTGACAAATAGAAAACAAAATAATGATTGGTCACTATCAACAAATCAAAATGCTTAATTTGTGTAACATACCGGTATTAGCTTCTCAGAAATGCGCGTTATAAACACCTGTTTATAACAAAACAAATGGTTCAGTGTGATTTTGATGTATTTTGAAACAATTAAAACGATAGCTTACATAATCCTTTTTTGTAATAGTCAATATGGTACTGTTTACAACCTTTATGACATTATTGAAGTTTATTGAAATAATTAAATTGATGTGTAACAGTCTTTCAAGACACTGCAGTTCACAACATGAAACTCAGTCCTGATGCATATCATAAAAGCAGGTATGCATATTCATATATAGTATCTTACATTCTTGCGTGTATCAAGACAGTGGACTGCATGTACATGGATTCAAAGCAATGTCACTTCTCTTAAATTTTGCTTCTGAAATTTCATGCATATCAACTGCCACAGCCATTTCTATTTCATGTGGAGTAAGAAATATTGTCATATTTGTGTAGGAAGACAAATATATGTGGTGACAGACACAGTTTTATGACATTTTGGAAATTGCGGATTCAACATTTTACGTAAATGAAGTGGTCCATCTGAAATGTTGCTTCTTTTGAACAATATATAGATTTGCATCATTAACATTAAAAATATAGCTTCATAATAATTTATTATTTTTGCTGTTATAAATTGCAGTGCAATCTTTGTTACATTCTGACAATTTAATGTGTTTTCCAATGCACAGTGTGGAAGCGTGAATTGTGTACTTAAACGTAGATGTGGCAAGTTTTTTCAACAATGTCTTGAATACTAACCCGGTATGTATACCAGCTTTTAATGTGCTGCGTAATGTTTTAAAAATACAGACAATACACTTATTATAATTAATTTCAATTAATATTTTTCAAAAAATAACATTATCTGTAATTAAATTAATTTTTTTAAGCCAGTTATAGAGACAATGATGTTTAATAACATTTAATTGTTAATCAGTGTTTATGCCACTATTACGCTCAATGTGTATAATATAATTATATATCTCATTTATTCTAATTACATAAAATGTCACAAATTTATCTACTAGTATGCTATTATCTCAGTGGAAAATCAAAATCTGTTTTTGTTATTATCAAGTTTTGTTAATTTTTCAGTTAATATTTTTTGCTTTTCATTCAATTAGATACCAGGAATGGTAATATGCAAAACGCTTATTGTAAAACTAATTATTATGTATAATCTGCATATTTAGGTGAATAATTTGCATATAGTTGTGATGCGTGTGGGTGATATCTGACCAAACATTGTGTTATGTCTACACACTGATCAATATTCATTGTGTTGCGTAGATCATGTGGATTGTGGTTTTTTCCTCAATCTCTCTCGATGATGCGCCAACGATGTGGAATTATTGACAGGATCACTTACACAGCTGGTGCGTACACACTTATATACACGTGCTTGGAATGATGTGGCTTCTTCTTTTTTTTTTCCCTTTTTTTTTGTTTTTTTTGACATTTATTTGCCACTTCATACAGTGGATTAGGGAATGTTGTAAAACCTCACTATTTTACCTGAGATAATTTTACTATAATTAGAAACTTTAGTGTATTTACAGAAAGGTGTGCTCAATATTACGCACACTATGCTCGGCTAAGTAAGTCCGGTGTATCGTATTCGCTCTATTAATGCACATCTCGTATATAGAAGCATGCACATAAGGCACTGTCGTTTTTTTATAACCGCCATTACATGTGCATGTACCTGATATAAATAACTCCTTCATGTAGTAAAACAAGCAACAGTAGCATAACCTCTCAGCCAGAATATATAAACAGAAAACATGAAATAATTCTCAGCCTAGTTCAATAGAACTAAAATGTGTTTGCTCCACCATGTACCAAGAGCTTCGCTATAGAAACTCTTGATGTGTTGAACATGAATGGGTTGAGTTTTTTTAGCTCCGCTGTCGACTTTGTCGAGTGGAGCTTATCATATGAGTGATTGTCCGTCGTCGTCTGTGTCAATGTTTTACTTTTTCGACTTCTTCTTGAAAACTACAAGCCTGAATGCTTTGATACTTGGTGTATATGTACCTTTGGTAGAGCTCTCTTAGGTTTGTTCGTTTCATGTTGATATCTTCAATTCTCTGATTTTGGTGAATATTTTTGTCGTTTTTGGTAAAAAGTGATATTTTCGACTTCTTGTTAAAAACCACAAGTCCAATTACTTTGATATTACATATATAGGTACTACATGTGGACCTTACTCAGATTTGTTCATTTTGTAATGATATCTTTAATTCTGTAATTTGGTGAATATTTTTGGTAAAAAGTGATATTTTCGACTTCTTGTTAAAAACCGCAAGTGCAATTGCTTTTATATTACATATATAGGTACTACATGTGGACCTCTCTCAGATTTGTTCATTTTGTGATGATGTCTTCAATTCTCTAATTTTGGTGAATATTTTTGTAATTTTTGATAAAAAGTGATATTTTTGACTTCTTGTTAAAAACCGCAAGTCCGATTGCATTTATATTACATTTATAGGTACTACATGTGGACCTCTCTCAGATTTGTTCATTTTGTAATGATATCTTTAATTCTCTTATTTTGGTGAATATTTTTGTAATTTTTGATAAAAAGTGATATTTTTGACTTCTTGTTAAAAACCGCAAGTCCGATTGCATTTATATTACATTTATAGGTACTACATGTGGACCTCTCTCAGATTTGTTCATTTTGTAATGATATCTTTAATTCTCTTATTTTGGTGAATATTTTTTTAATTTTTCGTAAAAAGTGATATTTTTGAATTCTTGTTGAAAACAGCAAGTCCCATTGCTTGATACTATACATATTGTTCATTTTCTAATGATATCTTCTGTTCTTTAATTGAAATGTGCATTGCTAACAGCGGAGCTATCTCAGCCGAGAGGCTGCTTGTTTTACTTGCGAGTGTGAGGATGTTTTCTCACTTTTTCTCTACCCATACCCAAAAGTACAGTAGATTATGGAGTTAATGCATTAAAATGGCACCTCGCAATTTGAGCTAAATTGTGATTTTTGCTACATTTTCATCTTGGCCAAAGCAGTAGCTATGCTGCCGAAATAAATGCTGTAGTTATTTGCTACGTGTTTACTAAGCAATATTTACATTAGTTTTATGTAACATATTTTTATTTTATAGTGTACAGTTTAAATACAGTTTCAACTTGTGTGTACTTGATTTGTTTATTTACTAGACATTATTTGAAGATTTTTAATTTGAGCAAATGGCTTTACGTTAATGTTTGTAATACTATTGTAAATTACTATCATTAATATGCAGCCACACAAACTGATTTATATATCGAACATGGCCAACCTTGCATACTTTTTATTCAATATTCAGTCATTGATACAGGGTAGCCCCCCATATTTTGATATTTATGTTCTTGCCCCCCCCCCTCCCCCAGAAAAAAAAAAACATTGTCCTTGTTGTTGCAATTATATAGGTATGTATAAGCATATTTTTGATTTCATATGAAACTCAATAAATTTTATAAATGCATTGTCTGAAGTTAGTGTGTTTTCACCAATGAAATCCTCAATGCTTGAGGTCAGTTCCAATTATTGCAAGTTAACACCCTGCAAGATGTAGTGAAATGCACATCATGGTCAATCAAAAGTCATTAAAACACTAGGTGGAGCTAGCTAATTGCAAGTGTTTGATTGGTTAATGATAAGCAGCCACTGGGTCAACTTCTTCAATACTTCAATGTGGTAGATCAGGCTTCATCTTTAGGGAATTTCAACTGCTATGTGATGATAATGTTTTACAATTTGATATTAGCTCTGCCTGTAACATATTCTTTCTTTTCAAGTTGTTACATTATCGTCTTTGTGAGCATAGTTGTAGTGTGAGACCTATATGCATGGCTGATTTTTTGACCTTTTGTTTACTTGAACTCAAACTGCATTGAAATGAAAGGTAACTTGGTACAAAATGAAAGTGGGTACACAACTTCATGGGATTTTTTTTTTTTTGCATGTTCTATTGATTTGGATTTTGGCTGTTTACATGTTATCGAAGTTGATGTGTGAGAACTACTTGAGCAGAATACCAGTTAACATTTTGAAATTATTCTCTGCATGTTAATGAGCTAATTTACATATAATAGCAAATTTTCCTTTATCTCTGCAATTCTGCTGAGGGGTAAACAAAATAACATCTGTGGAGAGAGATCAAAGATTGTGATAACAAACTATGTCAAATTTCGTGCTTAGAAGGTGACATACTTGCGAAGGCCTCGGGAGGTCCTCCAGTTTCTCTTTGCACATACCACAAGGGCGCCAGCAAGACTCGCTTGCCCTATAAAATTTGATATACATAAACAATGTCCAAGAGTCAAGTTTCCTGTAATAGCGCCCTCTATGTTCGTAGGGTCTGCTGGTGAAAAACGAAGTAGTAATTACATGGACACGTTGGTGGTGTTTCGCCTGCACCTACATTCATCCTACGTAAGCGCGTGAAACTGCGGAACTCGTTTTGCCAGCATGTTTAACCATTTATCTCGTCAAAGTCGTGTTTCATCACATTGCCTGTCACTGGACGTGGCTGTAAAAATGTAAATTACGTTTATCTCGGCACAAGGTGTGCTATTTTTAGCCTGGCGGGGTCCACCGTATGTCCCGATGGGGACGCGCGTAAAATCGGTGTTTCCCGTGCGTAAATAATTCGGCGATAGATGATAGTGAAATGTTCACATTAATGTACCAACATATGTGTGTTTGTACTGGGTGTTTGAATCACGATATTGAGCCCACCATATACGTAGGATACGCGCACATGACATTCGGTATTTCAGATTATACCCGTGTTAAGCATTTGAGATTTGTCGACAGTGATAATGAACACGGACTGACTGACTGACTGGCTTGTAATCTATCGCCCTTGAACCGGGACACGAAGAACTAGTTCATGTTTACCTTGTCCACTTCGGTATCTGAAAATTAACTCACAACACAAACATAACGCAATTCGACTTGTTTGATTTGGCCACCGCATGTATGCACACAATTTTGATATTTTTGTAAGATATAATTTCCAGACTTCTATCCAAATTTGCTTTGAAATTGCAGACTTGATAAAGTTACCGTTGAGACGTAGCAAATATTTTGGTTACCAGGCGATGGGGACAGGCGAAATGATCGGTCGTGTGTCCGAGTTTGATAAGCGGTTCGCGTTTGAGATGTAGGTCATATCTTCGAGACAGACACCTTTAAATACAAAATTAAAGTGTTCATTTCAGCGATTCGGGGATGTTTTGAATAACTTAATTTGAAACAGAGGACACTGTTTGAATTTTTTCATTTGTTATAGCCGTTCAAGCGTGCGTTTTTCTTCTGTACTATATACATTTTGGTCGGTTCCGACTCACCAGAGCTGTAAATTAAAATTATGAGACTTTTATTTTGGTTTTCATTTTCCTTTAAACAAAAGAACATCACGGTATTTTAACTCGTCTACGTTGAACAATTGTACGTGTAGAGTACGTAGTTTCGTATATGTATACGACCAACGTGTGAATGAAGTGAAAATGTACTGATAGCGCCGCTTGTTTGCCTTACGCGCTGTTTTTCACGTCTGAGGTTGGTTTTTACCTCGATTGCCACCAGAGCCGAAATGAGTCTGGTTTCGCCGTGCAGATGCCCTCAGCGTGGCCCTAATGCAATCGTTTTTTTCTAATATCTCCGCCCATTGTTTGCTCGCGTTCAGGATGATTAATGAGCCCTTTGAAAACAATGCCTAATCGAGTGTTTGTGTGGATTGTCATTCGCATGATTTCGTCGCATTTTCATTGGTTAGTTTTGATTAATCGTAGCTGCCTGCTAGACTGGGCGGGCTGATTAGCCGTTCTTTACATTCTTTCGCGTAGAGTCTATGACAGAGGGGTGGACAACTCGCTACCTCAGTACGTGTCGAAAGCAGAATATGCACACAGCTGCGTCAGCCTATGATAGATAAATGCCCGGTCACTATTGATGTCCGATAACAACGATATGTATGTAAGTATATTTAATGCACTTGAAATTTATACGAAAATTATGCGCAGCCCCAACCAGGTCTGGTATTGGTATACTAGTATAGTACGGACACTCTCTGCCTTCTGGACCATGTAATTTCCACGGAGCCACGCAAATTGCTTTCTTTTATCGACAAACATCGCAGTTCTTTTTTGTGTGTCGGCCTAAAAACGTTACTGTAACAGTTCGATAGTCACTGTATTCAATCGGGGGACTGGATTCCGACCCGCGACTCTTCGCTTACAATGAGACCCTTTGAAAACACGAAGTTTGCGAGTTGTCCCCTACTATGGATAATGGCATGACCCTATTTCATATTCTATGGCGTTTTGCTGCGTTAGAATACAACCCTTTTGTGAGCGCCACAAAGACGTGTATAAATAAAGGGTTACGAGTAGAGCTTAAAGTTTGGAAGGGGGAGGAACGCAGTCGTAACTTTAGGTTTCAATGAAGCAGTCGTTGTAGAGGGGCCAGTAAAGTATAAGTTGTGGTCGACATTAAGCTGTTCTAACTGCTATTTGAGTTAGAGAGTATACGAGCAGTGCGAGGGAAGACTGTTAGCGCGATTTCTCGGTCCCCGTGGTGACATCTCATCACTCACGTCCTTCCATGACAACCTCACTTTGATTGACAGCTTGAATGGCAAAAAGCCACGAGACACGACAGTTTTGTTACAGGGCTGTTGTTGATGGGCCGACATAGGTTTCCTTCTGTTAGCTGACACATTTCTGTAAGCTTAGAAAGTCCCCGGCCTGTTCAAATTGTACTGGCGGAGGTGAATAGACGAGTGGAGTGGGGTTTTTTTTGTAGTCGAGGCGCGAATCACTGACGATTTAAGCAGTCATTAACAGGATCGGCCAAGTCAGATGATGGCTCAGAGGGTATGTCTATAAGTTGCTGTCCCTTTCTGAATTTCAACTCGAATGGAAATACAACTACTCGATTGTCTATATGTGTGTGCACGAAGCCCAGACGCGATGCTATATACCAATTTGAGGTCTCGGTATGGCGTGCCCTTTTATTTTGCGTGTTGCCGGGCGGGTTGGGCAATGTGGGAAAAATAATAATAATACTACCGTGTCTTTGAAAAACGGTCCATGTGTTTGTTTAGATCTCCGCTCATACCGACCTTTTCTCTTTCTTAATCTCTTTCAGTTCGACGATGGTCTACCGCATTATGGTCCCGGCATGGACGATAACATGTACAACCCACACGCACCAAGGTCCTCGGCACACTACTCACATACACAGCCCGCACTACCACCGCACTTGAACCACGGGGCGAGCGTCGGCCATCCAACGGCCTATCATCACCACAGCCACACGAATCTCATGCCTAGCGTAGTAACGCCGAACACAGTTACAGACATCCACAAACGAGATAAAGACTCGATATACGGGTAAGATACGAGCCGGGTCTCGTCAACGTGCCTTTAAAATACTGTTCGAGGCAAACTGTGTTGTTGTGTAATCAGTGGAGATCGTATGAACCGGGGATGTGCAGCTAAGCAGTCGATCACTATACATGCCGACAACAACACGTGTACTACTTGTATTCATCACAACAACTGTCTATTTCGTCAAGTGACAGCCCTAAAGCCTTCAATCGCTACGTCTTTCACGTGTTTTATTGCCCTGTCGACTACCAGCACATATTTTTTAACTCCTTTACGGTGATATTTGTCGACGTAAATCATGCCACGAACTGCTCAGTTAAGGCTATCAATTCAGCGAATAAAATTTTTACATCTACTCCAACATGGCCGCTGGACTGCTTTCCCCCGATCCGTTGAGTGTGTGTATGCCTTGCCAGCTCACTGATTTTATTTTTCTCCTTGATTGTGTCCACACAGGCATCCGCTGTTTCCTTTACTTGCACTGGTCTTTGAAAAATGTGAACTGGCTACATGTACGCCTCGGGAACCAGGGGTTGCTGGAGGGGACGTGTGTTCATCGGAGTCTTTTAATGAAGATATTTCGGTCTTCGCCAAACAGGTGCAGGTTGTACTAAAATATTATTATGATATTTCTCAGAAAAAAAATCATATTTTGTTATATATATATATATATATATATGTGTGTGATTTTATATTCGCAATTGTTGCCGTCGGTTTGACCATATTGAGAAGATTCTCCGTGCATTTGCAAACGTTTGAGGGGAATGGAGATCGCCGACTCGCCCAGCGGTGGCGTATTGTGTGAGCTCCGCACCAGTCTGCTTTCAAACACAGTGGGGTGGCCGAGGAAATAACGAAACTGAGCGGGTATCGAAAACGCGAGTTCACAAAAAAGTGTTTGGTTTTATTTGTACAGCGCTTTGATTTTACCAGCGGGGTAAATTAGTTTGAATAGTTTTGTAATCATGCACGGACAAAGCAGTGTTTTTGCAGTTCACACAGAGACCCCGTTGCCGTGCTTTCATGGCTTGCTCTCCCCGTCAATAAAGACTCGCTTTCTGGGAAGCGATATTGCATATCATCGCCGCCCCGTGAACACGTTCCACTAAGCTTCCTTCTGCTGCGAGCAGTTCCTGTTTTAAAATAACTATCGTTGGCTAAGTACATATGCACATGTATGCCTTCGTGTTTTTCTAAGAGATAGATCCAGATGTTCACACATTTTCACTGCTTTTTATTTTATCTCACTTTTTTTTCTCTTCTTTTTTTTCTTGTTTAAAATTTCCACTTCCTAGGCGAGAGGCGACAAACAATTTTTCTCGTCAAATCAAGAACTGGATAGTTTGGTATGTATCTTGTAGTACAATTTATCTATTACCCCTTGGTGGTGTTTTAAAGTCGCTTCGTTTTACATGATATATAAGCTCTTATCTCCGCCAAATAGCTCCGTTTACATTCTGTGTCGTTGTAAAGACAGCAGTCACTTGGCCGCGTCCTTGTTGAGGTCCCCAAGCGTTTGTTGTTAATACTACTATTCATTACTACCAAACTGCTACAGTGGCCTTTTTTTAGGTCGTTTATCCTGTTGGCGGCTATTTGTTTTCCTTCGGCGTCCTATTTTCCGGTAGTCAATGAGACGAAATTCGCTGATTAACAAAAAATCAAAAGTATATTATTGGCTTTTCATTGGTGCGTCTTGATGGAGTTAAAGAGGGTTGGAAAACACACAACTGTCTCGGCACTGACAACAAAACACGTCTAGCGCTTACAGCGTCCATTACGGATACCCCTCCCCTATTAAACCGAAAATTTGACACATACTAGCCAAACTGTTCACAGGTGACTGCTAGACTTTACCGTTAACAACAGCAACCGTTTTAACGGAAGTTTAAAAACAAAAACAAAAAACAAAAAACAGAAACGTACACACAAAAAAACTACATGATAATGATTGTAACTGATAACAGATGTGTTATTTTTCTAAGCAAAATAACAGCCCTTACATTAATTTCCAAATTAGCATGCCCGAATTATAAGACATTAATAATGCATGTATTTGACACAATGAGACTAGATTACACAGCCGAGTGTGTCAGTCGCATGTTTCTGTTATTCTCTCTGTGTGAGTGAGTCAGTGAAATTGTCACTTACTGCCCTGAGTTTTTTTTTATAGTGCTGCATTTAATCCTTGAAAATTAACTGGCTGAACAGTTTTCTGACTGAGTCCCTGTCTGGCCTTGCTTGTTTTTATTTCACTGGGTTTTGACATTTATATTTATTTTTTATTTTAAGTAATTATTATAATGTATATACTTTTCCTAAATTTTAGAGGAGATAAATATTATTATTTTTCTTAAAAAATACTGTCGTTGTTCAATGATATTGAACATCATCCACTGGACCATATTTTACCATCTGTTTTATTTTTCTCGTTTTGTGCAAGTGTGTGTTTGATGACTTTTTGACATAATCCCAATAAAGACAATTTGTGAACACACAAAACTTAAAGTAAAAGAACATGCCTTACATTTGAAATTTAGTTAAAACCCGTAAATTGTCAAATAAGTGTTACAAAGTTCATCTGTCTCCACTGTGTTTTCTAATAATTTATTTTTGTCTCTTGTCATTACAACAGATGATATTAGCAATACAGGTCCTACGTTTCCACCTCCTAGAACTCGAAAAGGTAATACATTTTTTTTCCTTCTCTCTTTCCCGAATATTATTATTAGGATGATTGATTTGCCATTATCGTTGAAGTCTGTCCCACATCTGAAGTTGCTACTAACTTTCCCCAAACTTTCCCCCTATATATTGATTGGAGTAGCTACTGAGGGGAGGGGTGGTGTTGCCTTGTCACAAAAGAATGCAGGTTGCTAGGGGTAAGCAGACAGGTGGAAAGAGTGACAGATACCAAGGGCTTGACTGTCAGGTGTTCTTGACAACCTTGTTTCAGTATGGCCTGGGTTCGGCTGTTGATATTGCATTTATTGAGTCAACTTCTCTGCCAGTTCATGTACTCTCATCGCAAGATGGATGGCTTTTTAGGTGGGCAGTGGTCAATTTGCAAAATTTGCATATGACCTGGCAAAGTTGGAAAGAGATGGATGATGTGATCATTAGCAAGGTTTACTCAAGTGTATTTACTCAGTGACATTTGAAAAGTAGAGAAACTTTAGTCGTCAGACTAGTTGCTGTTTGAGTTGCTTCCAGCAAACAAGTCAACTTGTCCCGAACAGTGCTACTACTGGTAGGTATGCGTGGGGGTGTATAACGAGAATGTAGTTGGCGTTTGCCTGTATGATTTGTTGGGTCATTTAGTACGGTCAATTGTGCTTCATTTGCATATTTGTTAAATGATTATTATTAATAATTTGTGAAGTCTTTTTTTTGAATCGCTATTGGGCTCGACTTGATTCCAGAATTGCATGTCGAAAAATAGTATTGTGGTGGGATTCTCATTGTTTTGTACCGGTACCACTAGAGAGAGAGCACAGGTTCATAACATATCCTTACCAGTTGATGTCACTTCGGTTCGATTCAGTGTCTGACAGGCAACTAATTATGTAAGGTCATATCCAAAACACTTGCCACTGTTTTTCCAGCATGTGCACTTGTAGGTTTTTTTTTTTCACCATTGAAAGATGTCACCGAGACTGTCGCTTGTCATTACCTTCACTGACTTAGCTGGCTATAGCAGTCACTTTCGTCTCGCTCCGTTGTCAATTTCACATTGTGGCCTGACAGCGCAGATGTATAAAATGTGGGAAAATGTCCACGCTGTCTCTATGATGCTTTCATAGGTGCTTGGCAAGATATACGTTTATTTATTTTTTTAAATAAATCGTGTTACATGCCAAGGAAAATAAAAAGCCTGAAGATCAGTCTTTGCAAAGTTCACTGAATTGAGAAAAAAGGGTTTCAAAGAGTGCGTTGAAATTTACACCCTGTATATAGAAGTGACCTAGCGAATCTGACCTTACCCGTTGAGGTTAATGTTGTTTTTTCTCATGGTGCTGTTCATTTGCCAAGATGTTGTCTGTTTCTACATGGG